GAATCATATATAATAATAATAATAATAATAATAATCAAAAAGGGGTGCAAAGGAAAATCAGGTAATCAGACTATAATAGAAAGGTTGCATAGAACTGGAATTTGTGGTTAAAACTAAAAGAATTAATGAAGTTTTTGAGGAAGTTAAGTGTTGCTAAGTAGAAGGACAAGGTAATATTAAGAAAAGGGTCCATATAAACTATTCTGTACACAAATGTCAAACTTTTTGGTGTGTAAATCTTTTGCTTCTGTTTTATGTAAAAGATAGATTCTAGGAACTTAGCACAATTTCTACAAAATTCTATGGATGTCTCTGAAACCTAAATTAGTGTTGATGTAAATAACCGGCATCAACTGAACGGTTTCGAACAAAAATTTCTGTTATTTTATTTTGTTCCATGGTCAAACAAATAAATATGAATTCACTTAGTATTGAGTGTTTGAATCTTCTTATTGATGTTTAGGACTGCAGTCTCTTATTGATATACGTGCATACTGTACGTATTACCTTGATATTACCTTAATTCACAAGCATTATAAGCAAAGATGAATAGCGGCTAGCGGTAGAATACATGGAAGCGCGTTTCATCCTGTTTGGGACTCGTCAGCTGGGTGTACCTGCATCTCAGAGTTGATGTTCACTCTGGCACTCGAACCCAGTACCGTTCGCTTTAAATGCTGTCACGTTATCCACTTAGCTACTGAGTCCTGGTAGCCACTTGCTTGTGCAGCTGGGTGAAGTTTAAATTCACTTAGATAGGATCTTCAAGATGCAGGTGCATCTAGCTGACGAGTCCAATATAGGACGAAACGCGCGTCCGGGATTCCACTGCTAGCCACCACCCATTTTTGCAAATAAATATGAAGCTCAGAACTAGGATAAAATATTTTCTATCTGTAAGGCCAATATAATAGTCTCAACAGTCGTATTTGAACTGACCTAAGAAACAATAACATGATCTTGTTGCATTAAGTGTTTGTTGTGTGAGCTATGCTATGCGTTATGCCATTATTTCATTAGATATACACCTATGGATTATAAATTCATGAATGAAGTTTTTCTCGATACACTCAGTGATTTCACATTTAATCTGATCGTAGTCATAATTTTTGATTAGCAGATTCGATGGATATCGATTTTTACTTAGTAGATCATTGATAAATTAACCAATTAATCCATGAGATAACTCAATCATCAATGAAGAAGATTTGTAGCTCAGGTAGATGATTTTTACGAAGGTTTTGTTCTCTGAGCTGGATAAATTGGTTGTAGAATTTTAATCGTTCACTTCTGACCGATATCATCTGTATAAACTTTAAGTAGAAGTGGAATGTTTAAATTTCTCCACATATGGTTCACAACTTGTCCTATAGACCTCGATATTGATTGGTTATGGTTGACGTTCAACTTGTTATTGTTTACTTTTTTTGTTTTGATTATATCTTCCATTGGCTAGATTTTTGTTCCTATGTTGCCTGGCGCGAGACTGATAGCTCCTGAGTTCGAGTCTCGCAGGGTACGGGATCGTGGATGCGCACTGCTGAAGAGTCCCATACTAGGACAAAATGGCCGTCCAGTGCTTCCAGATTTTCCATGGTGGTCTAGCTTCAATTGACTCATGATTTCAATCAGTGAAATTTCTAAAATCTCCACAAAACCCCTATCTGACAGACATAGGAATGTATAGATAAACTCAATTATCTAGGGATAAAATGTTCTCCATTTGTTTTTTTATTGAATTCGCTAGCATATATCATCATTATTTCTTACTATGTTTGTATACATAAACAATTAATATACAAAATGTTACATTATTCAAGGCATATTTGTAAGAAATATAACTCTAAGTAATTGATACACCATTAGAAAAAAACAACAGCTGAATAAATGACACTGAACATGTAACGTTAGTTTTACTATTCACTTAGTTACTATGTACAAAATTAATTAATTTACAAATTAATTTAATCACAAACTAATTGATAATGAGTATAGAAGCTTAAGTGAAGGTTTAAATTGGAAAAAAAACTCAGTAGTTAAGTGAATAACGTGATGATGTTTGAAACGAACAGTGATGAGTTCGAGTCCCAAAGTGAACATCAAGTACATCCAACTTATGAGTCCCAGATAGAACGAAACGCGCGCACTGGATTCCACTGGTAGCCACTATCGATTTTGGCATAAAATGCTTGTGAATTAAGGCAATATCGAGACAGTACTCACAGGATTCACATATGCCAATAAGAGACTGATCAATGACCGTCCAAAATATCAATGAGAAGATTCAAACAAACAAAACTAAGTGAATTTCTATTTGGTTTTAATTCATAAATACATTAAGATATGCATTATGAAATTTTTATCTGAGATGGTTAAATATCGTTGAAGAACTCTTCACTACATTAAGTGATTTTACATAAAAATATTTGAAAGTAATTGAGTTTCTACTGACATTTGAAATTGCAATTCCATTCTATGTTGAATTAGAAATGAACTGCAAAATTTAAGTCAAACCTTCAGTAAATTTGATCTTTCAGGGTTCTTGATATTCAGTAGTTCTCAGTGTTACATTAAAATGTCAATGTGGGTATGGTTCACAAATATAACTAGTTTTTGTTTTGTTGTCTATTGTGAATCAAATATACTTAACATTTAAAGTATTTGATCACATCAGTAGTTATCACGTCATTTCGTTTGGTAGCATGTTAACGAGTAACACTAGGAATTAACGTTATTTTCCTACCGTTAACTAAGCATATGATAGATGTCATGACGACTATATATCAATGAAATGAATCCTATTGACTAAGTCATTGGAATGTAAATGATATGCTATACAATGGTTTGTTGTAATGGTGGGGTTGTAAATCCATTAAAATTCTAGATAAAATTATGTTTCATTGCCGAGCTAGATAAAACAAAGGTAGTCAGCTTAAAACTGTTGTACGGATTCCGTTAAAATGTAACATAAGCTAACTACACCGGAAAATGATTTGCATGATGTTAGGATTACTTAGAATTACAAAAGACAAGTTTTATTTATTCCCAAACAAATGATAAAAAGGATAGGATGTGAAAGCAGAACTATGCAAAATACTCAGTCCTTTATAAGAAGAGGTGGATAGTTACTGACAGTAAAATGTAAGACGCGCGTTTCGTCCCATTTGTAACTCGTCGATTGGATGTACCAGCATCTTAGAGTTGTTTGTTCCGGGACTCGGACTCTGTACTGTTCACTTAAAAACAAAATCACTTTACCCACTTAACTTACTGAACCCAGATAGTTGTTATTAATGAGTCTTACTGGTTCCGAAAAAGATTTCATTAAAATTATAAATCAGTGACAATACAATGTTATTATTATATAAAGTTAACTCTTAACATAATCATATCATAACTATGTATGAATCGTATATATGATTTAGACATAAACTGATCTGACCATTTGTGAATACATTTCTATTAAGAACATAATCATATTTCTTAAAAAGAATACAATTAATACTACTACGTACTTACATCTGTTACTCCTTGTGGAGGAGCATAGGCCGCCCAACAACACTGTCCATCCAACTCTTTCCTAGGCAGTCTTTTCCAGTTGTCATTCATTCTTTTCATATCTGTTAACCAGAATTAAATACAATTAAAACAATAAACAATAAATAAATAAAAAATCACTAAGGATGTAAGTGTATGAGATGCTGTTTTGATTTTCAAATTCCTGGTGAGTGAATTTCAGACCGTATAAGAATTAATTGATAAGTATTAGACTCCCTGGTTGGGGACCGCGAGATGATAGCAACCGATGGTTAGAGACTGTGAATGACATGACTCAAAATGGTTTGCAATGGCGCAGGTGCATCCACTCTTTGTGTTCTCCCAAATTCTAATCTTGTGAATTCTTCATGTCCCTTTTTTTCTCTTTGGAAATTTCTTTCACTGAATTATACTCCTTGAATAACATCTTCAAACCCTAATGTTTCCGATTACTGCTTATACTTTTACTACCTTTAGCACTACGGGATTTGAATTGACAACTGCATCTCTGTGCTAATGTGGTGTGGCAACTCGAACTGATGTACGTACGTACGAAGTCCTACGTTGTTACTCACTGACTGACTGATTAGTATTAGAGTAGAATACTTTTAGATAAGAAAATTCTTAAAACAATCAGTATCAATTCAATTGGCTTTAATATGGTATAGTCTATGTATATAATCAGATTGTGTGCATAATAGAAAGATTATTTTTGAAGAATCTAAAAAACTGTTAGTTTAGTTATAGGAATCATATTCACATGATCACTGAACTGTTAAAACCTGAAACCGTTCACATATGATCTTTTCTTTATTTTTTATCAATGAATCTTCAAATCTTTCTTCATCCCTTAAATATCGTTGTTAAAATGCTGTGTACTAATTTTAGAGCGGTTTATACCTAACTTTCCTTCAATTTTTTAGGAATATAGTACTGACAGAGAGAATAATTGTCCTTAGGAAATATCCTACTTCAACCACATCCTGGTGCTGGAACACCCGTTAACATGCTTTGTATACTCTAATTTAAGTCGAAGCATTGGGTGGCTGTTTCTTTTTAATATAGATCACCTCAACGGTGTGCATCCACGATCTCACACCTGGGACTCGAAATCAGGACTTTCGGTCTCGCGTGAGAATGCTTAACCTACAGACCAATGAGTCGGCATTCAAAGGTGTTAATGTCTAACTTCAACACTTTCACAAAATCGGGCAACCATATTAGGACGAAACGGCTGTCCGGTGCCTCCAGGTTTTCAATGGTGGTCTAATATTGACCGGTTCATGGTCTCAATCAATATTTTAGAAATTTCCACAACCCCATACTGAAAATAAATAGTTGTTGAAACCGAGACAGAGAAGATATATGTGTATATGGTGAAAGAGAGAGAAGTTACAAAAGCAACACATAAGTTTTGATGAACATTATTATTAATGTTGTGATTTTGTTTTGTTTTTATCCAGGACTTGCTGGTTTAGATCCAAAATCAAGCGGAAAAATTGGCTCATATGCATTGATTTATTATGTAGTAACTACAATGCTTGCAGTTATACTTGGTATTGGTCTAGTTTTATGCATACATCCAGGTGATACATCAATTAAAGATGAAATAGGCGAAGGAACAATAGAGGAACGTAGACCTGAAACATTGGATTCTTTACTGGATTTATTAAGGTTAGTATTTGAATAAGGAAATATGATGGTTATGTATTGTTGCTGATAATTTTAAACTGGTGAGTATTTTACAGCTTTGAATAATAGAAAGAGAAATTTATAAGTTTTGTTTAAGTCATAGTGATTATATTCTCCTGCTTTATCTAGACTTACAGCAGATTTCATTATGGATTCATAAAGAGACCGCTAGTTATTGATGACTCAGTGAAAAAGTTAGTATTCAGTAGGTTTGTTAATGTTTTAATGTAAACGCAATAACTCATATTTATCGAAGGCAATAATAATGGGCCTTTAACTAATACATCAAAGGTCGTTCTACAGGAACCCAAATGCTGATCTACATCATTTAGTTTAGTGTCAGATAATAGTTCATAATCTACAGAAATGGATCGATTCACGATTGTTTAGTCAGCATCAAACATCTCAAATATCTAATTTTTATGTAAGTTTTCTACTTAAATGAAGTACTCTAGATTTTCTTTATATGTTATGATATGGCTCTCTACTAATAAATAATTATACGTAGCTAGTCGTTCTGTTACTTTTCAACAGAATGTTTATGTGTTGTAAGATAAACTTTTGATTTGTTCAACAATCCTTTTAAAATATGCCTCTTTGCTAAAACTTATAATGAATTCAAAGCAGTCGATAAACAACTTCAGGGACAAGTTTCATGCCAAATGGAGAGATTTGAACCCTTGTCATTCAGTTTCACAGTTATCTATTCGAGTGGCAGTCATTGAGTTGACTCGATTGTATTAGTTAGGTTATATAATATGCCATTATCGAGTCCGACAGATGATCTTTTCTGTTATTCGAATAAGAATACGGTAACGGCCCGAGATGTTAAGTTGGGTAGCGAGACTTGAAATCTCACAAGAAGCTTTTGTTAACACAAGACTATGGATGGGTTTTAATGTAGAGTCTCATCTAGCATAAAACCTAGTTTCGACTGCCCCTAACCATACTACATCAGAACGTAGAACAAGGAGTGTGAAATCACTGGGACTGTTAGCTATATGACTAAAAACATGTGACAGCAGTTATTAATTAGTGTTTAAACCAATTTAAACATTCCACAATCTTTACTCTGACAAAATGGTCGTCTAACACTGATCAGTTCAAAGTCTCGATGAAACTAAACAATTTTCACAATCTTTTACTGATAATTATCATGTGCACGCCACTGGCTCGACTCTAGTGGTAATTCTCAGTTTCAGTGAGAAACCGAGACCGGTGAAGCTAATCTGTTATAGCTATGAAGCAGTGGAGAAGATTTGTAGCTCAGGTGGATGATTTTGATGGAGTTTTGTTCTCTGAGCTGAATGGTTTGGTCGTCGAGTATTCATCGTTCTCTTCTGAACGCCATCATCAGCACAAAGTTCAGGTAGAAGTGAAATGTTCAAATTTGTCCACATATATCTCACAACTTGTTCTGTAGACCTTGATATTGATTAGTTCTTGTTGACACTTCACTTCTACTTGAAGTTTGTGCTGATGATGCCGTTCAGAAGAACGATGAAAACTTCACGACCAAAAACTAACCAGCTCAAAGAACAAAACTCTATCAAAAGTCGTTGCATTTGTTAACACTTGTTATACTACAACATATTTAGTGTTAATTCCAGTTTATGTGATTAATATGTTACAATTAAAGTTTATTGTATAAAAAAAACCATATAGGTGAGATTAGAATTTATGGACGACCTTTGAGGGACGCTCGACTGACCTTGGTATTGTTCACTTAATAAATAGGACTAAATGAGGGTTATAAATCTGTGTGAGGACTTCGAATTTTGATTTAAAATATTGACGATTAGGAATTATATTTAGGGTTTTCATCACTAAATGACATCAGCTATAGTTCCAAAACTCTACTAAGCTAAATGGATTAGTGAATTTCGCACCGAAATCCGACACCTGTTATCATATACATGATTGGTTCGTCCATAAATTATAGTCTAGCCACCCTACAAATTTTAACCCAGAAATCTTATAGTTGGAATTATTTTCCAATATGTAATTATTATTCAAGATGGAACTTGGAAACAGCGTGATGGTTGTCACCATATTAGTAGGATTTATAATTGATGAGTTTCAAAAAAAAAAGATTTTGTTTATCCATTCCTTTTTTATTTTTGATTGATTTTCTCAATTAGATGTACTGTACTGACTGGCCATATGTCAAGTTCACATCATTGTTCTAGTTTATGGACAGATCAATCTATTCAATTTTCTTGAGTTACATTTTACCCTGTTACTTAGTTGCTTATCAACCTTGACTGTTTTACATATCAGTAACTTATTATTGTCTGACTATAAATATTGAGTCACATTTGGTTAAACTGAGTTGGCTCACTTACCTTCTCCATTGGGTGTCATTTTGTTTTGATTCTCCTTTTCCTCGTCGCTTTTTAAGTTCCGTTTCTTTGATTGTTTGTTCAGATCAACGGTTGTATGAAATACACATATTCAAGACTTCATTCTCGTATGTGACTTATTTTAATTCTGTTATTGACTAACTTGAGTTAAGTCGATAATTAAGTACGAGGATTAGCGACATGTTTATCTCAGTGGCAATCAATCACACGATCAAATAAAGGAGTCAGATATACGGTAACAAAAGTACATAAAAATTAATTATGATGATGATAAGAAGACACACTTTTGAGTTCATTGTCATACATTGTTTAAATAGGCTGTAAATGTCTTTGGCACATGATTTTTTTATCAGAAGGGGTTTGTGGAGATTTTAGAAATTTCACTGATTGAAATCATGAGTCAGTTGAAGCTAGACCACCATTGAAAACCTGGAAGCACTGGACGGCCGTTTCGTCCTAGTATGGGACTCCTCAGCAGTGCGCATCCACGATCCCGCACCTCGCGAGATCATTGAAAGTAATAGGGAGAGGAGAGTTTTATAGATTGTTGAGCTTTGAAGTTTGTTTTTGGTTGTTATCTAATCAAAATTAGTCCGTAACGTAAAAATGATGAATTTTTTTTTGCATTTGAAAAAAATTAAATTCATTCATTTCAAGGATAACTATTTTTTCCCATATTCATATATATATTATCCCGACGAGAATAGTGGATGGTAACTGTTGGGATCCATTTATGGACCAATACTATACATATATTTTTATTGTATAATTATTAAATAGTAAAACAATACATATTCATTCACTTGGTATTGTTTACTTGAAACTTCCCATTGATGTTTAGAACTGCAACTGATCAGTCTAGTATATGTATATGTACATCCTATGCGGATTGCCTCGATAGTGTCTTAATTCACAAGTATTATAGGCGAACATAGATAGTGAAGTGTTTGAAGCGAACGGTATTGAATTCGAGCCTCGCAGTGAACATCAACTCGGAGGTACATCCAGCTGATGAGTCCGACATCGGACAAAACGCATGTTCATGGATTCCACTACTAGTCACTATCCATAATATAATATAATTTATATTGTTAAACAAATAGCTATTCATTCATTCATTCATCACTGTTACCATAATTTATATCTATCAACCTTTTAGATTAGATTAGAGTTTTGTCCAAATACTCTTCAAACACTTTGAAAAACAAACAAACAAACAAGAAAAACAACACCATAACTTGTGTAATTAGTTTATTAACACTTTTAATTAAAATCCGATGAACTTACCAACTTTCTTAAGTACTCATGATATATAGTAATACAATCAACTACTAAATAAGTAGTATCTAAATCTAAAACAAACTTAATTAATATCAAAATAAGAATTTCTAATGAAATAGATTAAACTGATGATTGGATTTCATCTAGACTACCTTAGAAAATCTGTGAAAGCATTGGATAAGTATTTTATCCAAATATATAAGACTTCACAGCTTAAATTAATTAAATTAATTCAACCATATTCTTAACCGGTTTCTTCTTCTTCTTCTTCTTCTTCTTCTTCTCTTTTTTTCTTCATCTTAATTCTTTCATTTTAAGTAGCAGTCATTCATTCAATATGACCTATTTTCAAAGAGAAAATAAAATGTCAAAATTCATTTTTTTTATAAACTCAAATAATCATATTATACTGAAAAAACAAAAAAAAATAGGAAGAAAGAAAAAAGAGAAAAGAGAAAAAAAGAAAAGTTTATAATTTCATTCACCGTTTAAAATCCATTTCATGAAACAAAAAGATATCGGAAAGGGTTTTGTGGAGATTTTTAGAAATTTCAATAGTTGAAATCATGAGTCGATTGAAGCTAGACAACCATGGAGAACCTGGAAGTACTGGATGACCGTTTCGTCTTAGTATGAGACTGTGAAGCCCTTTTATTTTGATCGTCGTTTAGAGCGAACGATGTTGTCGAAAAGGTTCTCCATTTTAGTGGTCCGAGTTCTGACTCATTTGATTGTATGAATGATTGTTATTGAAATATATATGTCACCTATCCTCGTATATAATCATCGACTTTAATCGCGTCAGTCAATAACGGAATTAAATAAGTCAAATAACGAGAATGGACTTGTCAATACATATATTTTGTACATGGAGCGAATGGAATAGAGAGAAGAGAAACGATGCGGAGTGGAGATGGCTAGTAAGCCAATTCCTATTTAACCAAGCGTTAATCAATGTTTATAGTTACACAAAATTAAGTTACAGACATGTAATGAGTAATGGGATAAGAAGTGTACACACACCTATGCGCTCATATGAAAACAGTCAAGATTGATAAGCGAATAAATAACAAGGTCAGAATGTGACTCGAGTAGAATGAATAGAATGGGCTGTCCGAAAGCTAAAATAAGGTATATAGGCTTAACATAATAACCGACATTACAGGACTGCTCAACAGTGCTCATCCACGATCCCGCTCCCTGTGAGATTTGAACCCAGGATCTATCAGTCTGGCACATGGGCGCTTAATCATTAGACCGCTGAGAAGGCATCCAGTCGGCTTCAAGATTTTTCATCGTGGTCTAACTTCAATTGACTCATGATTTCAACTATTGAAA